AGTCAGGAGTGGTAGGAGTAGCAGGTGATTGGTTTGTGCTTTGGGTGGAGGATTCGATAGGGCGAGGTGGAGAGATAGATGGTGTTGGAGTTGTGCTGGTTTTGGTGTTGGGCAGCTGATTGTTGTCCTGAGTTCCAGCTTTAGTTGGTGAAGTAGGAATTGAAGGAGTGGTGTTTCTCGTGGGGTTGGGTGGCTGGTTGCTGGTTGGGGTTTCAGCTCTGGACAGATTGCTTGCGCTGGTCCCTGCAGCTGGCTGTGACCCTGCTGCTGGTCGAGTTGCCGGAGAGGGAACCGTGCCAGCATTGGGTCGAGTAGATGGTTGGGTTGCTGGTATTGGAGGTGGAGGTGGAGCTGATTCATCTTGAGACCAAGGAAGGCGAAAGCGAAACGATGACCTCCGTCCTGCCATTTAACAAGGATGTTGTGTGAAGGAAATGAATATTTGCTATACTTTGATTATCTGGTTTTGATTCGAAATGAGCGTTGAAACTAATATAAATAGGTTTCCTTTTGATACCTTGGAACATTTCTGACATTGCTTTGCTTCTTTTCCCCTCTCAAAGAATAACCGTTTTTTGGGAAGTCTATTGTGAAAGTTGCTTCCTTTAAGAGGTCTAGCTTTTAAAGTATACTTTCTAACCGTTTGGCCAATGTGACAATGTCCAACTCTATAATATTACAAAGAATTTCAAAATTTTACTCCTACAAATTTTCTCGCTTCATATTCTTGTCCTGGTGCAAGTTGAATTGCACAACAATGCGGCAAGCAGAACACACTAAGAACCAATCTGACAATAGGGCAAACCATATTTCCTTGTCAAAGATCATAATAAAAGAGGTTGAGAAAAAAGAAAAAGAAAACAAGACAAGAAATACCACAAAAAAGTTATGTTCAGCAATATGCTATCAGGTGTCTAATGCCTCTTCAAGAAGCAAAGCATAAAACAAAATGCAGAGGAAGAGAGCTCATCATTCTTTCTTTTCTGACCTAGTTGTTTAAGCAAAGAATGTAACCTACAACAACCAATGAAGGGAGAACATTCTTCCTAGAGAATCTCTCAAGTAGTACAGATAATCGTTCATCACCAGACCAAACTAAACAGTGCATTTGCATTCGAAACTGCTTTCACACATGCCATTTATTAACATTCATTCTGCTGCACTAATAGTGCTTGCAAGCACAGAAACTTTTTTCGTTTGACTGTGCCATGCGGAAATACCTAATCATTTCTTACAGATACAGCAACAGAACATATGTTGCAATCAGTGAAGCGGTTAATCATCTGTCGATCATATCAGCTAAAGTCAATGATTTACTATTTATGATCGCATTACATTAATGTGAAACTCTGTAGTAACAACATTCAGGGATCAATGATAGTAGTTTACCAGCCCTCTACCGTGTCTCAAACCCCCCACCACCACAACAACAAACCCAGCGAATTCCCACAAGTGCCACCCCCCCCCCCCCCCCGAAAAAAAAAAAAAAAATATCAACTGAGACAAGATGCAAGCTCTTGGGTAAGTGGTTAGATCACCCCCATGAGAAGCTAAAGCTTACTATTCTAGGGCAGCCAGTCTGCAAGCATAGCCAAGATAAAAAAAGTGCTCACAAGGTTTGTCACTTAGAATAAGGTAAATCTGGTTAAGGTGAACATCATGAAAGGTAATTCTCTTTCATGTGGAAGGGACGTGCTGATAGCAGAAACAGAAACAAGGCACAAAAACATTAGTACTCTCAACTTTGACAACAAGAATTAGCTATACATAGCCTCAACAGTTTCTGTCTTTCACCAAAAGAGAACCAAGCACCTCCCTAGATTCCAGAAATGTCAATTTCAGATTCAGTTTCTGCTCGCTACTGAACGGGAGACTAGTGCCCTTACTGAATATCAAAAGCCCTTTGAGGACTTGATGATGTAGCTCAAGTTGTAAGCAACAATAGCCCCTGAACCTTGTCTAACAGAGCTATCAGAATATCCATTTCATACAAGGTCATGCAGCAACCCATCAGGATAATACTTTCCTGAGACTGAACATGGCCCCAGAATTCGTCATGAGTCAATATCATAATCCTATAGGAATGCTTTTAACTACGGAGTATTTACTTTTCTATCTTTTCTGTTTTACTAGAGGCAAAAAGGATTTCTTGACTGTGACATAAATGCTGCACTAACATGGAAAGTAGCAGCTTGATAATATTCAAGAAGGAATACCACCGCGTCATCAATTTCAAGTGCACCAAGACCCTCCCTCTGAGGAAATAGTTTAATGATTCAAAGAGCGATTAAAGAGGCACCACAGCATTGCCAAAGAATGACATGAAGTACAGTGTAAACTAGAGTCAAGGCCTCCACAGCACATTAACACAAGCACTAACTCTGAGGAAATAGTTCCCTGGCCTAAAATAGATAAGGTAGCAAAATAGAACTCCCTCCCTCTCCAAAAGACCCGATATATTAAACAACAGTAGAGCAAGAATTACAATCTTTTTTAATGATTCAAAAATTGATTAAAGAGGTGCCACAACATTGCCAAAGAACAAAGAAAGTACAGTGTAAGCTAGACTCAAGACCTCTCAGCACATCAAGACAAGCATTAACTCTAGTTCCCTGGCCCAGAAATAGATAAGGCAGCAAAATAGAACTCATGGTCTTGTGGTTAGGTGGATGGATTATCTGGGATATAGTACATGATTCCTTCCACTGTTTCAGTTGTATTTAATTACTCCAGGAGTGTGCTATTATCTTAAGGACAAAATCTGGTTTGCAACATGAAAATCATGCATACAAGGTCCATTTCAATAAAGGACCTTGCATGCTCTCTTTTTTTTTTTTTTTTTGTTACTTCTCAAAAGAGGTCCATTTCACACAGTATAAAAAATTAAGTACCTTTCTAGAAGGATCAGAACTAAGTAATTCCCTCATGCCCAGGATAAGATCAGAAATATCCAATCCATCATAACCAGGAGCTTAATATGGTCAATGATATGTGGCTGAGCCATTAATCGGTGTTGCTTTTTTTTTTTTTCCAAATTCAATTCTGGAAAATTATGAATAGGCAAGAACACACAGGTGGTAGAGACCGCTGAAAACTATACATGCAGATACCAGAAGACAATTCTCGTCTAGCAAATTGCAAATCCAGATTGACATGCTAAAAGACAGCATTTATTATATTCATAGTCCAACTCCAAGTTTCAAAGCTTATTTGTAACTAGACTCTTATTACTCACTGAACAAATGAGTGAATAAACAACATGAAAGAAATATTTTGACCGGAAATTTTATATTTGTGGGAGAATTGATGCAATTCATTATTATTCAAAGAGTCAAACACGATGCTTTAAGCTACAGTGCATGATATCCTTGTAATAGACTACAGAAAACTGGGTACACTTTTGAAAAAGTATTAATAAAAAAACAGGGTACATCAGACAGATACCCCCAAACACAACTTCAAGTACTTTACTCCCATCAAAGAGAAGTCTGCTAAAAGTACCACAGAATAGTTAACAGTATGAGCTATCGTGCAACAATGCGTACTGGAAAAACTCAGCAAGGTCATTTGCATTTTCACAAGTGCGTGCAAATTCTATGCATATTCCTTTTTTACTTTTTAACAAAGAGATGGAAAGCCGCTTAGAAGAACATGTAGACTAGATATAACAGTCAACTTGTGATTTAGCATCAAAGTAAAATGCAGCTTAGGCTAAATAGAAACTAGATAAGAGAAGACGCAGACTCCTTTCAAGCACTTTCGAAGATTCAACTCGTTTGAGACAGTTGAAGCTATAAAGAAGCTACACTCTACAAGCAGCGCTTTCTATTTATGTGCTTCATATGTTTTCTATCTTATAATGTCTGCATAACCTTTTTGGTCTACAAGGCACAGGAGCATGAAAATCACAGAAAGCTAATCGCCAATGATAGTTTGATTTGATACAATCTCCACAAAATGACATAGTTAATAAATATAAAAGATGCAGATTGTTTGATTTGGTGCTTGCGAGCACTATTTGTATGTCTTCTTGGCTTTGCCACCTTTTTTCAGTTTTCTGATTGCTTTCCTACCTTTTGAACAGGACAAGATGATAATCGGCACATCCTATACTGATATTCTTATACTGCTCATGATATGTAAGCAGTACATTTGTTGTATAGAGAGAACAAGATCATTTAAGGCAGACAAAATATAGGTTTTCCTTTTATTGCCAGAAGAGAAATAGACTTGACTCGTGAAGGAAAATGATGGACTATGCTACAATTGCAGAGAATGACATGTGACATGCCCTAGTTATCGATGGAAAGGTAGTAGGCATGATTTCTGTTGTAGATATTCTTAAAGCATTGGTGGAGCATCAAACTCAAGAAGTGAAGCCACTAATTAATAGATAAGGGGATCCTACTAGTGAAACCTAATGAACAAATATGCCTAGCAAGCTACAATTGTCATGCTCTGCTAGTTACAAGTGTAGCCAACTCAAAGAAATTAATGTCATCTTGTCAGTGGGTCTCTTCAAATAGCTGCTAAAACAATTTCATCCCACAAACAATTAACTAGCAGATCAATGTTGTACCCAATTTGATGAATCTTTTATAAATGGTGTCATAGGATTTAGAAAGATTTGAGAAGTAAAACATCCAAGCCATCAGCAGGAAAGAGTCCCCCACTGACACAGAAGCAAAGAAATTCTGTGCAAGAAGTAGATCACTCTTCAATGATACAATTATGCACACTGTAGATATATTTGCGTGAAAGGAGACTACAGGAGCAAGACATCTTATGTCGAAATTAAAGTGCTACCACATTTGCAATTAGACCCCTCCTATAAATGATTGAGACTCTGCAATAGTCAAGAGTTAGCTGATTGAAATCCAAACACACATGACCAGACGATAAACACTGCTAGCCTGCCACTATTGCCAGGATATTGCTAAACAGCTAAGTACCGCAGCCTCAAATAAATATATTTTAACTTAAACCCAATGCATTCTTAGTGGATGAGAAAATCACTTTACCACAGTCCTTTTAATGTTGATTTCCAAGAGCAATTCAACAGTCCCGAGTAATAAGGCTATGAAAAAAAAACATTAAGAAATGAAAGAGCTGCAACATCACAACGACGACAATTAATGGACCTGATAATGGAGGAGATATTTATAAGACGTCAAAAACTTATTAACTATTCTGTCAAAGACAGGCAGAAAGGCATGGCTGCAAATGTTCTAGAACAGTAATCCCCTTGCTGCTTTAAGTTTAAGGAGAAAATCTCATGGTGGTTCCTGGATCACATGGAGGAAATTAACTCTTATAGGCTTCAAATCATTAAAACACACTTTCAAGAGCCAAATGTCAAGATAGCACTAACTTGCCTTCTAAATGCAAATGACCAACATTATCTTACAGATGGTCTCCTGCGGAGAAAAGTTCGAGATGCCTGGAGCGTTACTTTAAGTTGCTCGGATACTGTAAATCCCCGAGCTTCCATCAATCCTTGGAACTTTTGAGCATCTTGTACAAATCCACCAGCTATAAGTGACTGTATAATCCTCTCGAATTCTTCTGGTCCCAACTGCTCCTTTTTGGCCTCCAAAACTCCAAGAGCTTGAAGAGCCTTTTTCTCAGCATTAGCTCTTGCATACATGTCACATAGACTAATATGAACCTTAAATGGAGGAGCCTCACCCTGCTCAGCAATCTTATCCAAGAGTTGTTCAGCTTCATCAATTAGCTGCATTTTACCCATCCAATCCACCAAAACAGAGTAAGTAGCCACCCCAGGCTCAAAACCATCTTTCTCAAGCTCCATTAGAAGATTTAAGGCTTTATCCAATAGGTTCTTCTTCTCATAAGCTGCTATCATGCTAGCAGTGCATCTATCATCTGGCTTGTGCCCAAGTTTAATCATGTAATCAAAATTATGCCTTGCCTGATCAGGGTCACCAGCTTTGCCAAATGCCTCAACAAGTAATGTACATGACTCTAAAGTGGGCTGAAACCCTGAAAACTGCATTGTAGTTGCTATTCTTTGGGCTCCATTAACATCACCACGCTGAGCAAATGACCTTAGTAGGGCCATAAAGATCTCCTTAGAGGGCTTGATGTCTCTTGCCTCCATTTCCCTCATCAATGATTCACCCAACTTTGGTTCGCCAGCATTTACATAGGCTAAGATCATGGAATTGTAAACTCCCATGTCTGGTAGGAATCCTTGAGTTCTCATGCTTTCGAATGCAGCTTTTGCCTGATCCAAATCACCTGCTTTACTGTACATGTGAACCATGGTTGTTGATGTGAGAATATCAGGTACAATTCCATTTTCACTCATCTTTTTGATAATTCTTTCAGCATCTGCTAGGCGGTTGTCTCTAGCATGGGCATCAATGAGTTTGGAGTAGTCACGTATGTTTGTTTGGAAGGACTCTTCACCAAGCACATGTTCTGCAATCTAAACATGTTCAATAAAAATCAGAGCTACCCTATACTTAAAGAACAATTTAAACTACATCAAAAACATAAAAACAATTTAAATACAGAATTTTCAAAATATTTGGTTATTGATGCAACGGTGGGTCAAATATTTCTATATCGGCAAAAATTATAATTTCCCTAACTTTTTTGTAAGCATTTCGCTAACTAATCTAACTCCATCCTTGCGTTCCTTGCAGGATGAACAGGAAACAAGAGAACCATATAGATTGCAGCACTACACCAGTGCATAAGACTGCAACGCGACAGATACTTCTTATCTCAAGATTATTTTGTCCAACGTGTGAAGATTTCATCATAACAATCCTACTTTCTTATTTGGAAGAACCCAAAAAAGTTAGAAGAAAACTAATCTGATTATAAATTCCTATATTTCTCTACATTATCAGTAAGATGAAAAGGCATTCAAGAACAAGTGAATTAAGGGCATGAACTTAAAGTCTCCAACATTTTGTAGGGTCATTATCTAGTTTGATTTTGTTCTAAAAATTGAGTAGCTGACTTTTGATGTGTCAGACAAATACAGTCAGAGAAAAAGTAACTAAAAACTAAAGAAGTAAAAAATATAACGACGGATGTAATCAGATCAAAAAATTTCACACCAGATCTCATGGCATAGGACATTGAGCAAAGAGCCATAGACTTGATAATCTGGTGATTTTGCTTCGTTTTTGATAATAAGTGTCTGCTATGCTCAAAATGTTTCTAGTTTGTCTTATATACCATAATCTACTTCTTGTCTAGTGTCTGCCTATATGTGCAAATTGATGGGCCATTTCTTTCTTCTGCTTCTTCCTCTATTTGATTATATTTCATAATTCTATCTTTTGGTCTTTTATGCTTTTTGAAAAGGTTTTCTATATATGTTCCTTCGCGCATGTACACTTTTTAAAAAAGAATTTCAACATTTCTTGAACAATACTTTTCTTTTCTAAAAATACTTAATTTCATAAGAAAAAGGTTGCTTTGGTACAATTGATTGAGGACCGGCAAATTTATGAAGTTAACTAGAATGTGCAGAATGAAGGTAAAAAAGCATATAGAAATAAAAATTACTGAGAAAAATGTATGCCCTTAGCAAATGCCTTTGCTTGGATCCAAGTATATTTATGAGCATTATCATACTATCAGGCATTTCCTTGAGCTAAGGGTCTATTGGAAACAGCCTCGCTACCTTCAGAAGGTAGGGATAAGGTCTGCGAAGACACTACCCTCCCCAAACCCCACTTGTGAGATTTATTGTTGTTGTTGTTATCATACTATCAGGCACAAGCTCGTGATCCTAAATTCTCTAGATTTGTTGGGTGGACCCCAGCTGACACTACAACGGTAGGAATGAAAGTCAAAATGCACGACAATTATTCAAAATCATGCAACTAAAAGAAAGTTAACGAGGAAGGAATACCTTCAAATATAGATGAGGATTTCGTTCCTTCAATCTATCAAGTAAATTGATCCAGTCTACCCTGGTAGGTTGGAGAAGTTCTACCCACTCAGCTAGAAGTAGAGAGGCATCATCTTCCTTTTGTGAAGCAAGGATTTTGTCAGTAACAATTTTGCACTTGCCAGCTATTGGTTTTGGTTCTTGAGGCCATATGATTTTTTCAGCTTCATGAATCTTATCAGCCACTTCAGACCATTTTGAATTGGACAAATCAAGTCCATAAATCTTGTAGTTAAGCTTCCCACGCCTTTTCGGAAGAGACACAACTTTAGGCTCCTCCTCTGCGCCAACACTGTCCTGCTCCACGGCCATGGCCCCAATACCACCATATGAGCTCCCTTCTTGAGCTGATTTTTCTTCCTCTTCCTTAAGACGTTCAAGATTCTGATAAAACTCACTCTCCTCCATCTTCTCACGTGCCCATTTGAACCTATACTCCCTAAGCATGTCTCCACGTATACCCACTTCACCAGCAAACCTACACATCTCCTTAACTTCCTCAGCTTGAAGAAAGTTCTTCATTTTCTCCTTCCTTTTTGCTTTCTCCATATCTTCCAACACCACATTGCTCACCTCCCACACTGTCTTCCATAAATCCTCACTAAAATCTTCTGATGCCGCCACTGCAGACCCCATCATCTGATCAAAACCACCCTTTTCCAGCTCAGATACAACCTTCCCCACAATAACCAAAAGCATCCCATCAATTGTTTTCTTCTCAAAATCTGGATACACTTCAACCAGCTTTCCACGCATTATCCAAACAAATCTTGACAGGAAATCGTTCATTGTGGCATCATCCTCTGACTCGGTTTCTGACTCGCTTACCATTTCTTCAGCTGTGTGAACGAATCTTTTACTGCCCCAAGATTCCATTTTTCCAAATTTTGGATTTTGGGGTTGGAAAAGATCAGTGCGACACTTCGTCGAACAGATAGAAGGTGTAATGGAGGATGTAGTGATTGGAGCATTCTGATGAAAATGGGGGTATTGAGATAGAATTCTTATGGTACCATTGAGTTTTGACAGACTGTTGATAGTTTGTTTGGAAATTAAGTGCTTCATATTCATTCCTGATTTTCAGAAATTTGGATTGGGGAAGTGAGAACTAGGGTTTTGTGAAATAATAAACCCTGATACAAAGAAAAGTTTGACAAGAGGGCTGTTGGGCGGCTTTCGGAACCCGCACGACTTTTGATTAAAGCAAACTTTAAAAAAGAAAATAATACTAATAATTCAAAAACGGTTATAAATAGAATTCTATTTATGGTGAATGTCCATATTTAGAGAGATTCTAGGGTTTATTACTTGGTGGCTAAGTCAACCTCTCCCTATAAATAGAGGGTTTTATTCCATTGTAATTCATCCCAAAATTCAATAAGAATTCCCTCTCTCTCTTTCTCTGCAATATTGCTCTTGTTCTTTTATTATTTTATAACACGTTATCAGCACGAGACTCTACCGTCTCAAGAAGCTCTTTGAGAAGATTAAGGTAATTTTTCTCCTCTTTTTAATTATGACTGACATTATGAAAAGAAAGTTCGTTGCCCTTGAAATTTCGGGCCAGAACTATATGACATGGGTGCTGGATGCTGAAATCCATTTAAATGCAATGGGTCTTGGAGACGCCATTAAAGACAGAAATAAAGCATCCACCCAAGACTGTGCTAAGGCCTTGATTTTCTTGCACCATCACCTTGATGAAGGGTTGAAAATTGAATATCTCACAGTCAAAGATCCACTTATTTTGTGGAATGGCTTAAAAGAAAGATATGACAACTTAAAGTTGGTCACTCTTCCACAAGCACGATATGATTGGGCTCATCTGAGGCTCCAAGACTTTAAGTCTGTTTCTGAATATAATTCTGCGATGTTTAGAATTACTTCTAAATTGAAACTCTGTGGAGACACTATCACTGATTATGATATGCTTGAAAAAACGTTCACAACGTTTCATGCCTCCAATATGGTCTTGCAACAGCAGTACAGAAAGAAAGGTTTCAAGAAGTACTCTGAGCTGATTTCTCTTCTCCTTGTGGCTGAGCGAAACAATGACTTGCTCATGAGAAATCACGAAAATCGACCCACTGGGTCTACACCATTGCCTGAAATGGATGAGGTGTATTCCCATTATGCTAAGCGTGGAAAAGGCTGTGACTCTATTCGTAGTCGCGATCGTGGTCATGGTCGTAGCCGTAGACAAGGAAGAAATTTTCCTGGTGTTAATCATCCCCCAAAGAGAAATAACCACCAAAAGTGGAAAGGGAAAGATGAGAAGCCAAAAGCAAATGGTTCAAAAACTGAATGCTATTGTTGCAGTGGAAAAGGGCATTGGGCAAATATTTGTCGTGTACCAAGACATTTGGTTGAGTTTTATCAAGCATCTCTAAAGAATAAAGGCCCTGAAGCCAATTTTGTCTCTGACAATGATTTTGACATCACCCACTTGGATGTGGCAGACTTCTTTGAGCACCCTGAAGGAAAAATAGACCACTTGATCGGTGATGGATCCGTGGTTAAAGATGATTGAGTAGTTCAACTTTTATTTTTGCCTATTTTTAATAGTTAGTGAATAAACATCATGTAATTGCAATTCTTTACGTGAATAGTAGTCATTAGTATAAAACAATATTATTTCTTTTATAAATCTCGCCGCAAAATACACATACATTTCATTCGATTTTATAAATAATTGCTTCCGATAAAATTTCGTTTCTGAAAGGGCGATCATTTACTATCTTTCACTGATTTTGGGATAGATGGAAAATTGTAACTAGAAAGGAATTGAATGAATTTTTTTTTGAAAGAGTGGCAGTGAAGTGTGACATAACCCAGGAAGTACCCGTTTTTATTTCTTTTTTTTACAATCATTAAATTTGTAATTTTTAGTTACTATCTATTAACAGGATTTTTGAAAATTAAAGTGTGGATAATACAAAAACACATTCAGTAATTAGACCCTTTTAAAATGTATTACTGTTTACGAGCCATCTAGATCGAATGAAGCTTTACTTAACAAGATTTTAGTAGTATATGACTTCATTATTTTTTTTTTACGTAATTGTTTATATCAAAATCAGAATTTGCTTGAAATTGCTTTAAAAGTCATTATTGAATCATTGACTTAACTTTGTTTTTTTTCCTTTTCTTTGAAAATACTAATGTTTATTCGTATATCTTTTGTATGTGAAACCATGGGAAGCAAATATGGATATCTCTCAAAGCAAACTTGAATCAAATTTCAATTATAAAAATATTTGTTTAGTTGATTCATGTACGACACATACAATATTCAAAGAGAAGAAATATTTCTCTCATTTAAGTATGTGTAAGGCAGATGTTACTACAATTTCTGGTAGTAGTAAATTAATTGAAGGCTCTGGAAGAGCTACTATAACTCTGCCTAAGGGAACAATACTTATCATAGAGAATGCAATGTTCTCCTCCAAGTCCAAGAGGAACTTGTTGAGTTTTAAAGATATCCGCCGAAATGGATATCATATTGAGACAATAGATGAGAATAATCTTGAATATCTCATCATTACCAAAAATGTCTCTGGCCAGAAAAGGGCTATTGAGAAGTTCCCATCTTTGTCTTGTAGCCTGTATTGGACAAGAATTAGTGCAATTGAGGCACATTCTACCGTAAACCAAAAGGTTACTGATTCCAATACTTTTGTACTTTGGCATGATCGATTGGGACACCCTGGATCAATTATGATGAGACGAATTATAGAAAACTCAAATGGGCATCCACTAAAGAATTTAAGGATTCTTTTAAATGATGAATTTTCTTGCACTTCTTGTTATCAAGGCAAGTTAATTATTAGACCATCACCAACAAAGGTTGGAATTGAGTCCCCTGTGTTTTTGAAACGTATACAAGGGGACATTTGTGGACCTATTCACCCACCTAGTGGGTCGTTTAGATATTTTATGGTCTTAATAGACGCATCTTCTAGATGGTCCCATGTGTGCCTATTGTCATCTCGCAACCTCGCGTTTGCAAAATTAATGGCACAAATAATTCGGTTACGGGCACAATTTCCTGATAATCCAATTAAGTCTATTAGACTTGATAATGCTGCTGAGTTTTCATCCCAAGCATTTAATGATTATTGCTTATCAATTGGGATAAAAGTGGAACATCCTGTAGCTCATGTTCACACTCAAAATGGCCTTGCGGAGTCTTTAATTAAACGTCTGCAATTGATAGCAAGACCGTTACTCATGAAAACGAGGTTACCCACTTCTGTTTGGGGTCACGCCATTTTGCATGCAGCAATGCTAGTTCGTCTCAGGCCGACAAATTATCATAAATATTCCCCGTTGCAATTAGTTTTGGGTCATGAACCTAATATATCCCATTTAAGAATTTTTGGATGCGCGGTATATATGCCTGTAGCACCACCACATCGCACCAAAATGGGTCTGCAAAGAAGGTTAGGAATATATGTTGGTTTTGAATCGCCCTCCATTATTCGCTACCTCGAAACATTGACGGGGGATTTGTTTACTGCACGATTTGCAGACTGTCGATTCGATGAGACACTCTTCCCAAAATTAGGGGGAGAAGTTGGTGAAACCAAACGGGAAATTTTGTGAAAAAATCCATCATTATCTCATCTTGATCCACGTGCCACTATTTGTGAAAAAGAGGTGCAAAAGATTATTCATTTGCAGAGAATAGCAAATCAAATGCCAGATGCATTTACGGATATGAAAAGGATAACAAAATCACATATCCCTGCGGAGAATGTTCCAATCCGTATTGATGTCCCTATTGGACAATCTTCTAGTGTCATAGCTAATGAGTCAAAAGCACGCCTTAAACGTGGCAGACCATTAGGTTCCAAAGATCGAAATCCTAGAAAAAGGAAAACAAATAATCAAAATGACACTACGAAAGAATCTCATGAAGAAATCCACAATTTAATAAATTCTGAGATTCATGAGGAATCCACTGAGCCCGAGACTCAAGAAAATAAGGAACTATCAATAAATCCAATCGATATTGAGACAAATTTGAATCGAGTGGATATAGTGGTGGATTATGTCTTTGCAGATAATGTTGCATCTAGCATTATGCAAGAAAGTGAGGATCTTGAACCTCAGTCTGTTGGAGAATGTCGACAAAGACGTGATTGGCCAAAATGGCAAGAAGCAATCCAATCAGAGTTGAATTCGCTTGCAAAACGTGAAGTTTTTGGGCCTGTTGGCTATAAATGGGTCTTTGTACACAAGAGAAATGAGAAAAACGAGGTACAAAGATATAAGGCATGCCTTGTTGCACAAGGAATTTCACAAAGGCCTGGTGTCGATTATGAAGAGACATATTCACCCGTTATGGATGCTATAACGTTCCGTTATCTCATTAGTTTTGCTGTCCATGAAAAGCTTGACATGCATTTAATGGATGTGGTAACCGCCTACCTTTATGGCTCACTTGATAATGAGATATACATGAAAATTCCCGAGGGATTCAAAATGCCTAACGCAAATAATTCAAAGTCCCGGGAAATGTTTTCAATCAAATTGCAAAGATCTTTGTACGGTCTAAAGCAATCAGGACGAATGTGGTATAATCGTCTTAGTGAGTATTTATTAAAGGAAGGCTATATAAATGATGCCATTTGCCCATGTGTTTTTATAAAGAAAACAACATCGGAATTTGTTGTACTTGCCGTATATGTTGATGACATAAACCTTATTGGAACTCCTATAGAACTCCAAAAGGCAATTGATTATTTAAAGAAGGAATTCGAGATGAAAGATCTCGGAAAGACTAAATTATGTCTTGGTTTGCAAATTGAACATTTGGCATACAGAATTTTTGTCCATCAATCTACCTACATAGAAAAGGTATTGAAACGGTTTTACATGGATGGAGCACATCCATTAAGTACTCCGATGGTTGTTCGATCACTTGATGTGAACAAGGATCCATTCCGACCTCAAGAAGAGAATGAAGAGCTACTTGGTCCTGAAGTACCATATCTTAGTGCAATTGGTGCACTAATTTATCTTGCAAATACTACAAGGCTTGGCATAACTTTTTCAGTTAATGTCTTAGCAAGATATAGCTCTGCTCCCACAAGGAGACATTGGAATGGAATCAAACACATATTGCGGTATCTAAAAGGGACTACCGATATGGGCTTATTTTATGGCAACAATTGCAGTCCCGATCTTGTTGGT